GCTCTCCTATCTCCTTCATTCTTCCCATTCACCATAATGGCAATTACAGATGTATCATTCCCATGGCACTCCCCTTTCTCCACCCTCCCAGTTGAGAACCAAAAAGAAAATTGAGGCCATCCACCAAAGGCTGGATTCTTTGCATCACTCAGATAGCTTCTCCCATTATCTCTTCCTTTACCCCAGTCTCCCACAAAGAGGTTGTCCTCTTTGCCAAGGTGAATCCCACTACATGCCCAAGTGATCTCATCCCATCCATCTTTGCCAACAGATTGTCCCCTCTATAATCCTCACTCTCACTAATTTTTAATCTCTGTCAACTGGCTGCTTTTGTGCTGCCTACAAACGCAACCATGTCTCTCTTATCCTTAAAAACCCTCACTTGGTCTGACCATTTCCAATAACTCTTCTCCCTTTCACGGCTAAACTCTTTGAGAAGGTCATCTCCAATAGGTGCTTTCATTTCCTCTCCTCTGCTCTAGACTCTTTGTTGTCTGACTTGTGATGTCAACATTTAACTGAAATTGCTCTTTCCCAAGTTATCAGTGATCTTTTAATTGCCAAATCTAATGTCCTTTTCACAGTGCTCATCTTTCTTGATTTCCCTGCAAACTTGGACGTTATTGATCACCCTTCTCTCCCGTATATTCTCTGTTTCTGTGACACTCACTCCTCTCCAGAGTATCCTCTGCTGGATGTTCCTTCAGCTCATGTCCATAAACTCTGGATGTTTCCTGAGGGTCTGACCTAGGCTATCTTCTCTCTCTACACTGTCTCACTTGGTGATCTCATCAGCTCCTCTAAGTTCAATTATCATCTCTATGCAGATAATACTCAGGTCTGTTTAGCCAGCCCTAACCTCTCTCTTGACCTTCAGTCTTCCCTTTCCAACTGCTTGCTGAACATCTTGAACTAGATGTCCTGGAGACATCTTAAACTTAGATTTAAAACAAAATTTATTATTTCTCACCATAACTCCTCTCAAACCCTCCCTTTTTCTAATTTCCCCATGGTACAATCATCCTCCTAGGCACCTTGGCTCATAATTTCATGCCATATATCCAATCTTTTGCCAAGTTTGACCATGTCAACCCCCTTCCCCAATAAATTCCATTGGTTCCCTATTGCTTCCAGGATCAAATATAAAATCCTCTATTTGGCTTTTAACTCAACCTTACCCTTTACCACCTTTCCAGTTTTCTTACCATTTATTCCCCTCTACTTATTCTACAATCCAACCACATGATAATACATCTCCTAACTCCATGCCTTTGCCCTGGCTGTCCCTCATGCCTGGAATTCCTTCCATCCTGGTCTATATCTCCTGGCTTCCTTGGCATCTCAAATCCTGCCTTTTGTCAGAAGCCTTTCCTGGTCTCCTCCCCCACCCCCCCAGCTACTAATCTCTTCCCTCTAAGATTAACTAGTGTAGGAAGGAAGGAAGGAAGGAAGGAAGGAAGGAAGGAAGGAAGGAAGGAAGGAAGGAAGGAAGGAAGGAAGCACAGGCCCGGAATAGTTTGTCAGTCAACAAATTAATTGTCTCTGAAGTGCCAAGTGCTGTGCTAAGCACCCAGGATAGAAAGGTTACAGACAGACCTTACCCTTGAGGAGCCCACAATCCAATGGGGGAGACAACATGCAAATCACTACCTACAAACAAGGTACATACAGGATAAATAGGAAATAATCAAGAAAAGGAAGGCCCTGGAATTAAGAGAGATCAGGAAAGGCTTCCTAAAGAAGGTGGGATTTTATCTGGGACTTGAAGAAAGTCAGGGAAGCCAGGAGGCAGAGATGAGGGGGGAGAACATAGTAAGTGCTTAAGAAATGCTTCTTGGCTGACTGGCCTTCTCTCCACTCCTGCTAGGAGGACACTTTATACTCTCCAGATGAGAAATAGTTAAAGGGCATGAGCAGATTGCAAAGGAGAAAATACAAATACCAAAAAAACCCCCCAAAAAACCAAATTAAAAGATGCTCAAATCCCCTAATAATAATAATATGTATAAATCAAGGCAGAATTAGGCTACCACCTTATCACACACCAAATTAGCAAATATAGTAGTAAAAAAAAAGAAGAAGATAAAATGCAATGTTGCAGGGTTAAGGAAAACTGTTGCTTTGGGGGATTGTATTCCAAAAACATTTATACCAATATACAGTAAGAGTCACAAAACTAATAATGTGCTTTGATCCAGTGATTTCATTGCTAGAACTTTTCTTAAAGATATCACAAAAAAGATTAAAAAAAACCTCTCTGTACGAAATGTAGCATATGAGTAAAAAACTAATAACAATTAGAACTACCCAGAATTGAACTAGGCTGCCCTAGGGAGTAAGATTGTATGACCACATGTTGGGAATCACAGAAAGTTTTGTTGTTGTTCAGTCGTATCCAATTCTTTGTGACCTTCCTCGCTCCAGGTCTGACACTTAATTTCTCCTCTATAAAGTCAGGACATTGGACTAGATCAGCTCCGACCCCCCAAATTCCTTCTCCTTCCCAAACAGAAATCCTGCCATAAGCTCAGCTGTACCTGATTCAGTACACGGTCTTTCGAATTGGTTCTTATAACTTTCACTGTTTGTGTGTGGGGAGGAGAGGATTGAGGTATGGACCACAAACCCATACCATACTACGATTGCCAAACGGAGAAAATCTATGGCAAACTCCTGCACAGAGGGCTCTCAGCTACCAAAGCGCTACCTATTGCAAAAGGAAACCATTGGTGGGGAAGGTGGAGACACACCACTGGAGGGAGACAGAGGCCACAACAGGGGGACGGGGCAGGGAGACCGTTCACCAAAGCCTTCTGCCAGCTTGCTACTTAACTAATGATTCTTTTTTTCTTTCTTTTTTCTTTAATTTATTTTAAAGTTAAACACTACAAACTTAAATGCATGATAAGAAAAGAAAAAACATATTATAAACTTAAGTACTAAAACTTAAATACAAAATAAGAAAAGGGGAAAAAAAGCATTGCCATGTGCACAGCAGAACTTAAGCGAGGATATAAAAATATACAGCTATAAATTTCCACTACAAGAAAGCCTATATAATAAATACATATTATATAAATAAATACTATGTGTTATCCATCTTTTCTTTGCTTCCTTTTAAGTTTTCTTTTGTTCTCTGCTGTGCAGTTTTTACTTTGCTCTTTTTTCCCCTTCCTCCCTCCTCCCCCAAGAGGCTACAATTAATGTGGATGCATTTTATGTGTGTGTGTGTGTGTGTGTGTGTGTGTGTGTGTGTATAAGCACATACACACAAACATATATATGCATATATACACACATATATACACTTACATACACATACGTGTACTTAGTTCTCTAGAATCATACTCATATACAGACGTATACACTCATATGCATCTATGTAAGACCATACTATACTTATTTGTCCTCTGTTTCTCTGAGGGTGGATAACTTCTTCCTTCATAAGTCCAAGTCTTCCCATATTTTTCTAAGTCCACCAATTCATCATTTCCTACATCACAGCAATATTCCAACTGTCTATTAATCAGTAGTTCTTCCTAAACTGGGACTGATACCACCAGTCTCAGTACCCTCTAAATCCAGCATCCTGGAACTGACGTCCCATCAACTCCTCCTTCTTTTAGGCTCTCCTTTTTCTGTATACTCCCAGCCTCATCACAACCAGGCAGGCTTCTTATCTCACACACTAGGGCTCTGGTTATCTCCTTATGCCACTAATTACTCCCAGAGGAAATAGGCATCACCCCCTCTCCTTTCTGACTTGCCCAGGAAAGGCAAGGCAAGGCAAGGAACAGTAAGGAATTTCCTCATTCAAGAAGCAACCGTGGCCTCCATCTTCCACCCTCAATCCTGCAACTTGAAGGGGTTGGATACAAAAATTATTAATTAATCAATAATTTAAAAGTTCTGTTAATACTCACATCACAATTTCCTTCCGAGTCTGTTCCAGCATCATGTATTGGGTCCATTCATGTTCATTCTCAAAAGTTTTAGACTGATCCACGATCTTCTGGAACATTGTCCTTTTTCTGTAAAATGTGAGGAAATAACAGAGAAGAGGATCCTGAAATGAATGACTGGGGACAACGGAATTTATATTTTGGTACTCATTCATCCCTTAGATTATAAACTACTTGGGGTCAGGGACTGTATTTTGCCTCTTTTTGTATCTCCTGTGTTTCTACAGAGCCTGGAACATACTAGGTGCTTAATAAATGCATATTGATTGATATATTCAGATTGAAGTCTTACGTAGGAAAGGTACTAATCCAGCTGAGCTGGGATTAATCATAATGATCGATTAACTAACTTTAGCCCTAGAGATGGGGCACTACGGATACAGGATGTTTCATACCCTGTCAGATTAAGTCACTATGCTGGTTGGTTTAGCCTGTTTTTTACTGTTTTACACATGAAGGCTTCAAATGAGGGGAAGAGGGAGGTTACAGAGAGATGTATATTAGTAGGGTTAAGGGAGGAGATTGTTTTGAGTAGTGAGTCTATAATTCTGTTAGTCAAGAAGAGAGTCATCACTGGCCCTTGGGAATTGAGCTGAGGAGAGAAATGGACCCAGAGAACCCAGCTGAGCACCTTCATTGGAAAATACACAGCAGTCCAGGGAAACAGCATGAGGAAACCAAGAAAAGGGAAAAGACATCAGAGACATAGAGTGCTGAAGCTTAAATGCTTTGGCCACATGATGAGAAGATAGGACTCATTGGAAAAGACCCTGATGTGAGAAAGATTGAAGGCAAAAGGAAAAGAGGATGAGATGAATAGAGAGTGTCATGGAAACAAGAAACATGAGTTTGGACAGAATTCAGATAGTGAAGGATAGAAGGCCCTAGTGTGCAATGGTCCATGGGGTCACAAAGACCCCATGAATGACTGAACAACCACGTGTACTGTTGGTGATTTGTTTTTGTGTTTTTTTAGGCAATTGGGGTTAAGTGACTTGCCCAAGGTCACACAGCTAGTAAGGGTCAAGTGTTTGGTCGGAGGTCAGATTTGAACTCAGGACTTCAGGGCCCATGCTCTATCCACTGTGCCACCTAACTGCCCCCTACTGTTGGTGATTTGAATTGTCTCAGCCATATCTCCTGCCCAAGTGTGTGACTCTCTACTAGAGTACAGCAAGAATGTGCTCGCACTTTCCACTGTTGCTGTGTGTAACTGTGGTAAGTATGCTCCAAGATTATGGGGGAAATATTTTGTTACCATTTTCCTTCTGAGACTTTACCTTTCTTAAATCCATCCTTTGCCTCCTCTTGATTATCTGCCCATCAATTTCTCAGACTGTGTTCTATGTTCTATGTTCTCAGACAATGTTATCCATGTCCTGACTTCACTTTCTTCCCTTCCCAGTATTGACTCTTTAGCAAACCAAGTCAATTCTACACTGTCCTCTATTCCTGAATCATTTGCCCTATTGTCCTATTGCTACCTCACTTCAAGATTATTCCCACCTTCTCTGCTCTTATTAATTTGCTGCTGAAAAGAGTTAGAGGAAGTCACAAAATAGTGCTGACTGAGAACATGACAAATTTGTGTTGGCTAACCTCAACAGAGCCCTCACTACATCAAGGCAATCCTTTCACTCTGCCCTAATTGATTCCCAATCTCGCTCTCCACAAAAGCCATTCCAAATCTTCTCTTCTGTCATCAGGCTTCTCACTCCACCTCCCCCTACCTTCTCAACTGAGGATCTTGACTTTTTATTGAGAAAATTCAAGCCATTAGCCATGAGCATACTATTCTCTTCTATTCATCTCAAAACCCCATGATAGCCTCAACCCTCTCCTCCTTTCCTCCAGTCTGTCATAATGAATAGGCCCTTCTCCTTGGCAAGGTCCGTTCCTCCTCATGTGCCTTCAAACCCATCAATTCACATCTTTTTAAGCAAATTGTCCACTGAATCATCCCCCCCGCCCCCACCACTAATCTTCAGTCTCTATTTATTGATTTCCTGTTTAACGCCTTCAAATAGCCCCCCCTCCCAATTCTTTTTTTTTTTGAGGTTCAAATGAGGTTATAGATTTAAAATGTTTTTTCAAACTTTGAAATATTATAAAGCTCAGATATTTTGTGATGATCCCGTAAATGAGGGACAGGTTAAACAATAATTCCTATGACAAAGATCCATTTCTTTGGTGGACCTCAAGTTTAGTATAATATGGCCTGCAAAACAAAAACAAAACAAAATAACAACAAAAATGACCTTTTGTCAATATGCCAACATTTGTATTTTTGGTGGGGGCACATACTCCTTCTGTTGGAACAGATTTTTTTTTTAAATGCAAGTCCCTGTAGCCAATCTAACCTTTAAACTTGTCTAATCTTTCTGAAGATGACCAAACACAGGTTTTATCAGGTCTAACTCAACATGCTTTTATGCTAGCTGGACCTACCTAGGCTTGTTCACTTTGAGAGCCCAGAATGATCTCTATGACATAATTTGGCATCAGAGTAAGACTTTAGTTGGGGAATGCCATCTTATACGACATTAAAAGGAGCAAAATTTCCAGATCAAGGGATATAGTAGTGCCACTATAGTTCTCCCTGATTTTTTTTTAAAAAATAATTTATTTTGAATTATCAACAATCACTTCCATAAGTTTTTGAGTTTTAAATGTTTCTCCCCCTCTCTTCCCACCTCCCTCCCCAAGACAGCATGCAATTTGATATAGGCTACACATATACATTCCTATTAAATATATTTTCACATCAGTGGTATTATAAGTAAGAATTAGAACCAATAGGAGGAACCATCAGAAAAAGGAAACAAAACACAACAGAAGAAAAAAAACAGCAAATACTATGTATGCTTTGATCTGCATTCAAACTCCACAGTTCTTTCTTTGGATGTGGATAGCATTTTCCATCATGAGGCCTTTGGAGATGTCTTAGATCCTTGAATTGCTGAAAAGGGTTAAGTCTATCAATATTAGTTATTGTGCAATATGGCTGGGTTTTTTTGTGTTTTTTTTTAAAGCAAAATGGAGAATTTTGATTACATTAAATTGAAAAGTTTTTGCACAAAGCCAATGCAACCAAGATTAAAAGGAAGGTAGAAAATTGGGAAAGAATTTTTACAACCAGTTGCTGTGATAAGGGCCTCATTTCTAGAATATATAGAGAACTAAGTCAAATTTATAAGAATGCAAGCCATTCTCCAATTGATAAATGGTCAAAGGATATGAACAGGCAGTTCCCAGATGAAGAAATTAAAGCCATCTATAGTCATATGGAAAAATGCTCCAAATCACCATTGATTAGAGAATGCAAATCAAAACAACCCTGAGGAACCACATCACACCTATTAGACTGGCCAACATGACAAAACAGGAAAATGATCAATGTTGGAGAAGATGTGGGAAAACTGGAACACCAATGCATTGTTGGTGGAGCTGCGAACTGATCCATCCATCCTGGAGAGCAACCAGGAACTATGCCCAAAGGGCCACAAAAATATGCATACCCCTTGACCCAACAATAGCACCTCTAGGGTTATATCCCAAAGAGATCACACAAATGGGAAAAGGACCCATACGTACAAAAATATTTACAGCAGCTCTTTTTGTGTTAGCAAAGAACTGGAAACTGAGAGGATGCCCATCAATTGGGGAATGGCTGAACAAGTTGTGGTATATGAATGCAATGGACAACATGGCTGTTACTTTGTACAATGTTCTCCTGGTTCTGCTCACTTCACTCAGCATCAGGCCATACAAGTCTTTCCAGGTGTTTCTGAAGTCTGTCTATTCATCATTTCTTATAGCACAATAGTATTTCATTACACTCATATACCCTCCTCTCCCCTTCTCCCCTCTTCCCTCTCCTCCTCCTCCCTTCCTCCTCCCCCCTCCCTTCCCCTTCTTTCCCCTCTTCTCTCCTCCTCTCCTTTTCTCTCCTCTCCCCTCCCCTCCTTTCCCCTCTCCTCCTCTCCCCTCCCTTCCCCTCCTTTCCCCTCTTCTCTTCTCCTCTCCTTTCCTCTCCTCTCCCTCCTCCTCTCCTTTTCTCTCATCTCCTCTCCCCTCCCTTCCCCTCCTTTCCCCTCTCCTCCTCTCCCTTTCTCTCCCCTCCCTTCCCCTTCTTTCCCCTCTTCTCTTCTCCTCTCCTTTCCTCTCCTATCCCTCCTCCTCTCCCTTTCTCCCCCCTCCCCTCCTTTCTATGCATTTTCTCTTAATGTTCTCATCAGCTCCAAGGACTCTAATTATCGCTCCTATGCAGATCTGCACATCTAGCCCCAGTCTGTCTCTTGAGCTTTGGTCCCATATCACAAACTGCCGACTGAACATTTCAAACTGGATGTCCCAGAGAGATCTCAAACTCAACACGTTCATGCAAAGAAGACTACATCCCTCTACCAAACTTTACTTTGTCTGTTGAAAATAACACTATTCTTTCAGTCTGCCAGATTCATAAACTTGAAATTATCCAGAACTTCTCACTTCACTTTGCCCAAGTTTCCAAATCTTGTCATTTCTACCTCTATATTTCTTGCATCCAACCCCTTCCTTCTACGCACAGCTATGACTTTAGTTTAGCTACCAGCTTAGTTCTCTACCAAGCTGCCAAAGTTTGGGGGGGGGTTGTTTTGGTGAGGCAATCAGGTTTAAGTGACTTGCCCAGGGTCACACAGCTAGTGTTTTTTTTTAAAGTATGTTGTCACTCCCCTACTCAATAAACTCTAGTAGCTCCCTATTGCCTCTAGGCTCGTATATGGACTCCTTTGTTTGATTCTCAAAGTGCTTCCCGACCTGGCCCCAAACTATATTTCCAGTTTCATTATATATTACTCCCCTTCCAGTGGTTTGTAGCCTAGCTAAATTGGCCTCCTCTCATTTTCTCACACATGACACTCCATCTCTTCACCCTTAGATGAGTTGTCCCTCGTGCCTAGAATGTACCACCTCCTCATCTTTGTCTGACAGAATCCTTCACTGTTTTGAAGATCCAAGCACTAGCTTCTGTATGAAAGCTTTCTTGATGCTCCAAGCTCTAAGGCACTAAGAGACTGAATGACTTGTCTAGTCATACAGAGAGTATGAATCAGAGGCAATGAGGGGATCTCATGATGTCCATATAAAGTTATGCTCAAGGATAATAAAAAAGAGGTCAAGGAGCCAGGATGCAGACTCTTACTTCTAGTTTGGTCCCAGACAGGGGGAGAGAGCAGGAATTGTAGCCAGATGAAGAGCTCAGGCTCAGGCACCTGAGGTGGGAGGTAGTCAATGAGGGAAGGGAGAGAGGCACAGGGTTGGCTTGAATCCCCTAGGAGCCACAAAGTCATGGATGGAAGCCAATTTCCCAATACACCTGGGCCAGGGGTGGGGAATCTGCAGCCTTGAGGCCACATGTGGCCCTCTAGGTCCTCAAATGAGACCCTTTAACTGAATCCAAACTTCACAGAACAAATCCCCTTAATAAAAGGACTTGTTCTGTAAAACTTGAATTCAGTCAAAAGGCTGCACGCAAGGACCTAGAAGGCCACATGTGACCTCAAGGCCACAGGTTTCCCATCCCTGCACCTGGCCATGCCCCAGGAGCCCTAGAAAATGAGGAGCAACCACAGGGAGAATCTGCCAGAGGTTGTATATGAGGACAGGTGAGCTTCCTTATGGACCAGTGCAAGGCAATGAATAAGCTTAAGAAGCAATAACATCACCCATGTTCACAGAGACACTTTACTTATTGTGGACACTTGGCTTCTATTCATTTGGCCTCACAATAATATACACATACACAGAAGTATGTACATATATATATATATATATATATATGTGTGTATGTGTGTGTGTGTGTGTGTGTGTGTGTATATGTATAATATTAATTTATCTTTATATATATATTTACATAGCACTTTAAGGTTTGCAAAGCACATGACAAATATTCTCATTTGATCCTCACAACAATCCTGGGAGGTGGGTGCTATTATTATTCCCATTTTACAGAGAAAGAAATTGAGGCAAATAGAGGTTAAAGTGACTTGGCACAGCTAGTAAATGTCTGAGGCAGGAGTTAAACTCGGGCTTTCCTGGCTCCAGGCCCAGTGCTCTAACCACTACACTCCCCAGCTGCCTAAGATAACTGCAGAGATAGATAGCAGTGACATGACAATCTTCAAGATACTTGAAGATACCTGGCTACTATCACCCCCTCCCCCAATTTCTTCTTT